CCCCTTCCCTGCAGCCCAGGAGGCTGGTTCCCGGGGCCAGAGCTGGCATGGCCATGGGTGGGCAGCTGGAGCCCCACCCCCTTGGAGGTGCTATCCTCTGGGCCAGACTGCTCCCAGGCCCCTCAGAGCGGGAAGTGGCGGGGCTGCAGCCTTGGCTTGGTTGAGGAAGTCAGCCGAAGCCCCGGGCCTGGTGGACGGAGCTGCTGCTGCTGGAATTCAAAGCGCAGGCGATTGGCTGGCGGCCGGCAGCTAGCCAGCGAGAAGCGAGCAGGCTTTTAACAGCCTCGGTGGCACCACCAGCAGGCACCCCAGCCTGCCTCGCACCCCTGCTGACTCACGGGGGCTGAGCCTAGGCCCTGCCTTCCTGGGGGGGTAGTGGGCTAATGGCTAGTCCGGTCCTTCTGCAGCTTTCCTGAGCTACCACCACCCATCCCTCCCCGCCCCCCGCGGCTGCACACAGCTGCTGAGTCCTGGACCTCTTATTAGATTGATAAAATTAAGTTCTGCAAAATAATTGAATTGAGTTGAATTCATCTCGCCTCTTTCTCTTTGTTGGTGGTGACCCTGAGGGAATGCAGTGCCACCAGGCCGGGTTGGCAGTGCCCTAGCCTCAGGAAGCAGGGGCCAGAGAGAGAGGGCCTGCAGGGAGGGAGGGGTGATCTAATAAAGGGAAACCACACTCTCTTCCTACCCTTGCTGGGTTTGGGGGCACCCTGTTAAGGATCCCGGTGATGGGGTCACACCTTCTAGATTAGCCTTGGAGGGTCCTCAGGCAGGAAGGGCTGGTCATGATGTGTCTCTGCCTTCAGTTTGCTTGGGGAGCCCCAGGCTGGGCGTGATGCTGACTCTGGCCTGGCCCTGGGGTGCCCCTGGATGGTGAGGGCTGGCCCTGATGTCAGTGGGCTGCTCTGGGCCCAGCCCCTTCCTGCACTGGCATTCAGTTCTGCCCTGCTGTGGGTCCCTCTGCCCACAGACATGTTGGCCCTGGTGCCCCTCTGGTCAGCCACCCCTCAGCGCAGGGCAGGGTGGGCCTAGACCCAGCTTCCCAGGGGGAGGGTCTGGGGAGGGCAATAGCTTGGCCACCACGGTGCCCTCTGTTTGGGGCGAGGAGGCTGGGGCCGTTGGTTAGTGCCGGGGGTGGAGGGTGGGGGAGTGGAGGCGCAGCTTCGCTGGGGCTTGTTGGCAGGGCTTTCCCGAAGTGGGTTCCAGTGGGAAGGGCTTAGAAGGCGAGGGTCCTGCAGTACATGGCTCTGAGACACCCGAGGTGCAGATGACCGCTGGCTCCCAGGCCGAGCCCTCCGATGTCTGTCGCCATTCTCCCTCTGCTCTGTCAAAGTTGGGCTCCACCCGCCAGCCCCACCACCAGTGGTCCAGTGCTCAACCCTTGGTGCCACCAAAGGGCTCCCAAACAAATCCAGCGGTCTGACCACTTGCTCAACTGGAGGGGGATGCGATGAGGGTGTTTGTGCAGGAGAAGGGGGGGCGGGGCGCCCGGCCAGCAGGGAGACTGAGGAACGGTGTGGTAGGCTGGAAAGCGCCTGGCGGCCAGGCCTGGGCCCTGCCTGCATGCGCCCCTGGCTGGCCCTGTGTCTGTGCCCTGGCTGAGGAAGCCACACCAGCGTTTCTTTCTTCCCTTTAAAGGTCAGCTTTGTCCTGCCCTGCCCTGCCCTGGGAAGGCTTCTGAGAAAGCAACTTAAGACCAGCTCCCTGCCTGCCACCCCCCCTTCCCCCTCCCCCGGGTGTGGTGGCCCACCCGCCCAGGTGGCCTGAGGACAGGCAGGGAGAGCAGCGGCTTGTCCGAAGTCCCCAGGGGCCCCGATCTTCCAGGGGACAATGGTCCCCTCTGTGCCAGTTAGTCAGGCCCAGCCCCGGGCACAGGCCTTGAGATGGGTGCCAAGGGCCTGGGGGCTGGGCAAGGGGAGAGCACCTGGTGTGGCCTTTCTGCCCAGTGACCGCTAGGAGGGAATGAGCAGGCTTCCGTGGGGAGGGACCCCAGAGCCCCATGGTGCAGATGACCCTGGCTAGAGGAGAGGGTTAGGAAGTGGCAGGGTGCTGTCAGGGGAGCCCGAAACTGGGCCCGTGAGCGTGACTCTGTGGTGAGTCTTCACCCGGGCGGTCAGCATCCATGGGACCCTGCTGGTCTCTGTTCACCTGGCCAGGCTAGGTCAAGGCTCCTCCCACCCCCCTGTTACAGCAGCCCAGCCCTCTTCTACCTCCCATCTCAGGGTCAGGGTGGCTGCTCCCCAGCCTCTGGTTGTCTCTGTCACACCCCCCACTGCCTGCCCGTCGGGGCATTGGCTTCTCCCGGGGCCAGGTGAGGGGATTGCAGACAGCCGACTGCTGCAGGGTGGGTGGTGCAGCTCCAGGGCCGGAGCAGGCATGATGGGGCCCGAAGCTCCCTCCTTCGGGAGTGGAGAGGACTAGAGGTCCAGGGTGAGCACAGAGACTGGCACGGGGGCCTGACCCAGAGTGAGAGTGCCACCCCCTCTTCCAGGCCCCTCACTGCTCACCCACCCCCACCCATGAGGCTGTGGCTCATGGTGGGGAGGCGAGTGGGAGCACACGGCCTGGGACTCACCCCAGGTCCAGTGGCCAGGGCAGACTTGAGCCCTGCCCGGCGTAGAAGCAGCCCTTCCGTGTGCTGGGCACCTGAGCCTCTCCCTTCTCTGGGTGCCCTCTGTTGCTGCCCCCTAGCCACCTGTCCGACACGGCTGGTCCCTGTGTTTGAGGAAATAGAGACTGCTATGAACGATGGGGGTTCTTCTGCCTTGGGTCACTAGGAGGGGCTCTGGGAGTTTGGGAGAGGTGCAGCCTCACCTCCCTGCCCCCAGGGGTTCGGAGCTGGGAGGAGAGTTGGGGTTTGCCTCCCTGCAGGCTCAGCTGAGCCCAGGGGGCTGTGGTCACCTGGCCACCTCGGGTCGGTCCCCCTAGCTGTGCACTCAAGAGCTGCAGTTTTTTAAGGATGTGGGCTGCCCCTGTGATGGGGCGGGGTGTGGAGGGAGGGGCCGTGCTGCACAGTACCAGTGACTAGGGCAGGGCCTTGGTTGGGGGTCTCATGGGGAGGGGAACGGGTGAAGGACCCTCCCCCCATCCCCTGCCTGACCACTAGAGACTTCTTTCTCCCACAACACTCATTTGTGTTCCTCCCCACTCCCTCTTTTCCGTCTCCCTCTCCCCAGCCTCCTGCCCACACTTCCCCCTTCTGCCCCCTTGACTTGTCCCTTCCCCCGTAGCCCTCTCTGGACCCCTGTCCACTCTCCTGCACACGTCACCCTTCTCTGGTCCCCTTCTCCACTGTCCGGCCCCCCCTTCTGCCTAGTGCCCCCTCCTGCTCCTGCTCCAGTCGCCCCTGCAGGCTGCCTGGAGTTGCCCGCTGCCGCCCCGCAGGCTGTTTGGAATAGTTTAAATGCTTGGACACTCGCTGCACTGGGCGGCGGGTGAGTGATTCATATGCAAACTGCACTATAAATCTCCGGCGGGCTGGGCTGCGGCCGGAGCGCTTCCCCGCGCAGTACAGTATTTCTGCCATCTTTGTTTGCATTGCAGTGAGTCATCAAAAGTCTGTCTTGTACCCACACCCTCGCTGTGCGGGCCTCTGGCACCGCCACTCTGCTGTTTGCAGAGCCGGGCCGGGAGCTGGCATTGGCTCCGGCGCCCGAATCAAAGGCGGCATTCATCCCGGCGCAGCCTGCCTGTCCGTCTGCATCCGGCCGCTTCATTTGGATGCTGCGCGCCGCCTGGGCCAGCGGGGCCGTGCAGCTGAGCGGTGCCCGCCCGGGACCGGCCCCTCCGCCCTCCCGCCCCTCGCCCTCGCCTCTGCTGCAGTCTCAGCAGCCCGCGGCGGCGGCGGCGGCGGCGGGCGGGCGGCCACTGCACGGGACGGAGCGGGGGCCCCGGGCTGGCGGGCAGTGTCGTGCGGTCAGCAGTGACCAAAGGTAGGACCCCTGCCAGTGGCAGCAGCCCCGGCCGGCACTGCGGGCCCTCCCTGGCCGCCCAGCTCCTGCCCTGCACTGGGACCCCGCCCTTGGCGCCCCCCACTCACTGCTGCCACACTAGCTCCCGTGGTACAGAATGGGCCTTTGTGCGGGGTGGGGGCGGGCCACCGGCTGGCTGACCAGTCCCAGAGTTGGGCCGCTGCCCTCTCCAGCCAGTCCCCTCCCCCGCCCCTTCCCAACCGGGATCCGATCCGCGGAGCTGTACTTGGAGGGCCAGCCACCGCACCCGCCCTGTGACCCCGTGACTTACCTGGGCTCGCGGCATTGGCCGGTGCAGGGACGGGGGAGCAGGCGTGCACGTCTGCGACCGGCTCTCCCAAGTCCTGTCCACAGCGACTCGGACACCCACTGGATCTGTGCCTCCAGGGGGGTCCCCGGACAGTGCAGCCGGTGCTCAGACCCCTCTGACACAGCGACCACTCTTGGGGGACAGAGGTGGCCAAGCCCTTGGGGATATCCCTCCCCCTGAATCCCTAGCTCTGCCTGGACAGAGAAAGGGAACCAAAGAATGTTGCCGCAGTGTGCACCTGTCTGCCCACCGCCACCCTGTGGCAGCCTCTGGGGTCCCTTTGCAAGGCCTAACTTTTTCCTGGGAGCAGAGTGGCTTGCTCTTGCCCCTCCCCCACCCAGTCCTCATGTGGGTCACAGCTCTGCTGCTGTCTGCTGCACTGCAGGCTGCCCCCACCCCCACCCCATGGCCTTGGGGGGCCTTTGGTGGCACCCCAGGAACAATTGCAGTTGGAGGAGCCTGGGGGTGCTGGCTGGACCTACGACCTCATCTGTGGGCTGGGGCACCTGCTTCCACCATCTACTTTGCTGTACTGCCCCACTGCAGGCCCGGGGAGGCCCTTGTAAGGGTGGGGCAGCGGGACCCAGGGCTTTTGAGGTTGGTCTGCAGGATGGCCCTCAGGGACATGGGCGATGGGGGTGAGGCTGGTGACAGGTCCTGACGTGTGTGTGTGTGTGTGTGTGTGTGTGTCTCTCATGCTCTCTGTTCCTCCACAGATGCGCCCTGTGGGGCTGAGCCCGAGCTGAGCCTGCACTGCGGCCCCCCGCCGGTGCCCGGTGCCCGCCATGCCCCAGATGCTGCACATTGAGATCCCCAACTTCGGGAACACGGTGCTGGGCTGCCTGAACGAGCAGCGCCTGCTGGGCCTCTACTGCGATGTGTCCATCGTGGTCAAGGGCCAGGCCTTCAAGGCCCACCGCGCCGTGCTGGCCGCCAGCAGCCTCTACTTCCGAGACCTGTTCAGCGGCAACAGCAAGAGCGCCTTTGAGCTGCCTGGCTCGGTGCCCCCGGCCTGCTTCCAGCAGATCCTGTCCTTCTGCTACACGGGCCGGCTGACCATGGCGGCCAGCGAGCAGCTCGTGGTCATGTACACGGCTGGCTTCCTGCAGATCCAGCACATCGTGGAGCGTGGCACCGACCTGCTCTTCAAGGTCAGCTCGCCCCACTGCGACTCGCAGACCGCCGCGATGGAGGACGCCAGCTCTGCGCCCCAGAGCCCCTGCCACCAGCTGCAGCCCGCCGCCGCCGCCGCCCCCTACCTCGTGTCCCCCTCGGTGCCCATCCCGCTGCTCACCCGCGTCAAGCACGAGGCCATGGAGCCGCCACCGGCCGCTGGCCCCGGCTTAGCACCCAAGCGTCCGTTGGAGGTGGGGCCTCGGGATGGCACGGCGGTGGCCGCGGGCATGGCGGTGCCAGCTGGCGCCGCCCCCCTCAAGCTGTCCCGGGTCTCCTACTACGGGGTGCCCAGCCTGGCCACCTTCATCCCCAGCATCCAGCCAGTGGCCTATGCCCAGGGCGAGAGGACCAGCCCGGGGGCCAGCAGCCTGCCCACCACCGACAGCCCCACCTCGTACCACAACGAAGAGGACGAGGAGGATGACGAGGCGTACGATACCATGGTGGAGGAGCAGTGCGGCCACATGTACATCAAGGCCAGTGGCAGCTACGCAGGTAATGGCCGTCCTGAGGTGGGGCGGGGGAAGACTGCAGAGCCAGCCACCAGGATGTCACAGGGGGAGCTGGGGGCTCACCCATCTGGACCCCCAAGTGGGGCTCACAGACCTGATCCTGGATGAGGTGGGAGCTTCAGGAGCGTGTGTGGGGTGCTGTGGGGTCCGTGGGTGGGCACAATCCTGGCTTCCCTGGGAAAGGGGATGAGACTCAGTGGCCCATGGTCTCCCTCTCGGGCACCCTGCATGGGACCCCAGCTTCTGGCTCCAGAGGGAGCCCCTCCCCTTCCCCACAGTGCTGGTGTCACCCCTGGCTGACTCAGTGGGCTCAGGTGCCATTTCAGCGAGGCCCCAGAAACTCTGGGTCCTGCCCTGTATTGGGGAGGGGGCACAGGAAGTGCCTGGTGAGGCGGATGAAGGCCCCCATGAATGCCTGCTTCAATTTATTTGTTTTCTTCCTGGGTGGTGGTGGGGGTGTCCCTCACCTTGGACCCAGGATGTCCGTATTGAAGCTCTGGTCATGGCAGAGGGGGCTCACCCTGCTGGTTGTTGAGAACCTGCTGGGTGGGCCCTGGGACTGGGATGCCCTGATGACTCTGTGGCACCCATGCTGCTGCCTGGGGCTCAGTAGTCCACGGGGCCCGGGTGCAGGGTCAGCAGTGGGCAGGTGGAGGGCACAGAGCTGGGGGTGTGGAGAGCCAGGTGGGGGTGGGGCACAGGCTGACAGCTGAGGGTCAAGTAGGGAAGAGGCCACCTCCCACCCTATTTTTCCCCCAAACCCAGCTGTAGTGCTCAATAGTGACTTGGATGGGTGACAGAGCTGCTGCAATCCGAACC